TCTATAGAAGGACTGGCCAGCTTTAGGGACAGACCAAACACTTCTGCTCTGCCTGCAATGTTGATTGCTTAAATTTCACAGCATTCACAGGCAGGTCCACAAAGGGGCTGTGGAGCTTCTTGCAAGAGAGAGAGGCTAACAAAGACAAGGACCCAATGCATCAAGAACTGCTGTACATGCTCCCTAATCAGCCAAATGCCATGCAAAAGCATTTTACAGCCTGGGAAGAGGCAGTGACTGATAGGATTGTGCTGCGAGGCACATCTGGCATGATCAGAGGTAACTGGTGGGACTATGAGTATTTTTTCCTTTCACAAACAAAGGGTGTTAAAACTCCACAAGGAGCATGGATGGGCTGGATGTCCCCTATTCAAAGCATATTAACAATAATCCTGGGGAAATAAGCCTTGTCCCTGGCACAGCAGTCCACAAAGCACCATCAGAGCACTAGGAGCTTCTTATCCCTGTTCCTTGGAGGAACATGTACACAATCCTTGGAAGATTGAGAATTTCAGACTGGGACAAGCACAGAAACTTGCTGGCATAAAGAAGAACTGCCTGGGACGTTTCACTTTCATGTGCTTTCCTGTGGCAGCAGCTTTGTCCCATTACCAGCAGGATTACCAGTGGTGCAACAGCAAGGGAAGGTTTTTGGCTTGGCAGATTTGTTCTTCTTCCTCAGGTACTTATGTCTTCAGTTGTGGTGAATATTTCTCTCAATATCAAGTTGGTTCAGCTTTCCCTCTCCTTAACCTCTCAGGGAGCCTTTGTTTCTCAGAACCTGTTAGTTTAAACTGGTCGCATGCTAACAAGTGTGTCATCCCCCTGCCCTTAGGATCTGACATAAAAGATCAGTCTACAGGCTTGTCAAGCTTTTTGTCCTACTTCTGTAAGAAGCCAATGCCCAAAGCTTCTGAGAAGTGGAAAAAAACTGCTATTTAAAGGTTGCATCCCCTCTCCTTGCTGTGACGGTGTTGCATCAATTTTTATTCTTTATTTCCTCCTTCAATGACTTGGAAATCATGCTCTTGGTGATGGATTGCCCAACTCCTTCACACATCTCTACAGCTCCCTGCGGAAGATCTTTCACCAGCTGCCAAGCCACATTGATTTCCTGTTGAAAGCTTCTCCTGTTTTGCTGCAGTGCCTATGGGGTCATGAGATCTTGCCGGGTGGAAAAGAGAGAAAACAACTAAGATCCAACATGAATGTTTGTAATACTCAGAACAGTTTTCTACTTCTGGCTGACTTTCAGTTAAGTGGTTCACAGCGCTGTGAGCTACTTGACGAGAAGTATGAAGTATGAATATGAACAGTATGAGTAGTCAGCTAAAACAAATGGGAGAAGGATGGACTTTAAGACCAAAATTGAAGCCATTCAGGCACAAAGTGGAGAAGAGCATATAGCAGAATGGGAAGAAAAGAAACAACAGTGGAAAATGTTACAGCAAGGTTCATACAGAAAGCGATTTTTATTCTCTGAGCTTATGCAAGAAGACTACTTAAAGCACTGATAAAAATATTGGCTGCCGTAGGGTTTAAAACCCAATAAACCAAATCACTAGCCAGAAGGCATAAAGCAAAGATTGTTTCTTCCAGTGCAATTCATCATTGCTTAGAAAGCAGGTACTATAGGCATATATTCTAATACTAAATTGAATTGTAATACCATTATAGCTAGTAGCTCATCTTCTATACTGGCTTCGTATCTATAAAGATTAAGCTTGAATAAAAGCACACAAATTTCCTCTGTCAAATTGGGAAATTATTATTCATACAGCAGAATTAGATAACAGTGTAAAAGATGACAACTTTTCCTGCATCTCTGCTATAGGATCTCTAAAACTTCAGTGATTTAAGATTTAAATGCTTAAAATCTCTAATTCCCTAATGTAGCTCATTGCATTTTATTCCTTTTATGTACATCCATCCTACGTGTGCTCTCGCATTGCAAATACATATAGACACATTCCACTTGCATCTGCTTTCAGAGAGGATTTTTGAGGGAGATGTTTCAAGAGGCAACTGAAATGATTCAACAGTTAACCACACCTTCTTCTCCCCACCCTCCCAGGACTGGGCCTATGTTCTTGCTGCTTCCTTCACAAAAAATCCTTGGTAACAAGAAAACAGATCCTTCACCATGGCCAAGCATGGAACTACATTGCCTGTCTTCATTTGCACGGTTGTGGTCCTGCCAGCCAGGCTTTGCAGCACACAGCTCAGCACTCTGCTGAGGAGATACCTCCTCCTCAGGCCTGGCCTCACCTCCTTGCTTCAAACCTCCTCCAGCCTGAATCAGCCTTCTGAGGGGTTCAGCTCTTGTAGGTCAATGACACCCCAGGCAGAGAGGGAACACAGACTTTGAACACTTCCTCAGAAACAGCTCCCGGGCAAGTTCCATAGTTACCGTGCCCAGTTTCTAGAGGTTTGTGCCCTTTGCTACCCTGCCCTTTCCTCTCCAAGTGCTCAGTGACACAGAATGGCAAAAGTCTGTGGTGGAGACTGCCATTTCACTCTATTTCTGCCTGTGCTTTTATACAGAGCTTGCAAGATGTGCGTTTTCCTGCTGAGCAACTAACTGGGTAGAGGTTTTCCTTCCCCCACCCCATGAAGTCAGGAGAAGGATCATATGCAGCCATTACCTTTTGTATGATTCAGTGCCAAGACCCTGAGGTCAAAGACTGTATTTTGCTCAGAGTGAGGTACACTTTCTGCTCTTTGGACATAGGAGGTACACAGACTGTTCCAGCCACTATGGAGATAAAACCTAATCAGCAAAGTATGATGCTGGAATAAATCACTAGCATGTCATGCACTAATGGAGGTGTTGCGCTGGGACCAGCAAGCGAAGCACCCACACAGAGATTTCCATCCATCTCCAACAGCATCACTCACTCACTGCATGACCTTGGCCAAATCACTTGTGGCCTGGTTTACAGAAGCACCAGCCTCCTAGAAATCAGGTCAGGGCACTCCTTGTGCCCTCAGAAAAGAAATACTGCTTCTCCTCTGCCCAAACATCTGCCAGGCACAAAGCTCTATTATTCTCAAAGCTGGCCCTGATGGTGTCACACTGAGAGGCAGATGCACCTCTACACAGGCAGCAGCCCTGACACTGAGTCCTTCCAGCCCACACATCCCAATGCCATTATCCCCTGACAGATGCCTTTCACACCAGTCCTGAGATGAGGTAGGAATTCAGTGCGGACAACAAGCCTCTGTTCTTCATTTTGAAATAATATTTGCTCTCTGCTGAGGAAGTTTGTTTCCCTGCCTCTAAACTCCAATTCCTCTGTTTACAGTGCTCCAGGACACCAGTACCTTACAATCTGTCTGCTTGTGAAAGACCCAGGAAGGTAAAAGACTTGCAACATAATATACCTGCCCATGTAAAGCATGAGTAAAGAACTGTGGCCTTTTGTTTGTTTCTTTCTTTTTTAAAAAAACATAGGTACATATTGTAGCAAGGAGAAAGGCAGGAGGAGATCCTGGCGAGAAGCTTAGACCACATACCCACAGCAATATTGTCTGTGGTGTCAGGGCGTCAGGCACAGGTGTGTCTGTGGTCTGTGCTCCCCACTAGCTGATCTCTGGTGCTGGGAAAGCTTCCAGAGAAGATGCACTCAAGCTGTCACATCTACATGAGTAATGGCAATGTGTTCAAAGCCTAGTCACAAATACTGTTTTCCTACATTTCAGTTTCCAAAGCTCAGGCAGTCCCATGTCTGCTGATACCAGTGGGAGCATGAACCAACCCCACATTTTCACATGCTCTGGTCAAAGTCTGTCCATGAACAGCAGGTAAACCCTTTGTCAAAATGCCTTTGGCCTCTGTACAAATGTAATTAGAGTCTGATTTCAGCTTCCCTGTTTTCAATTTCCAAACTTCCCTTTGAAGCCTTATTCAGTAAGAAGTGCCAGACACCCCACATCTCCATTACAATGCATCCTAACACTCTTAAAAGCCCAAGGGCATGCTAAAGAAAACCAAATCCACTAAATCCATAGCCAATATACAACATAAGATCAAGGACAGATGAAAAGTATTTCCTGCAATGAATATGCATTGTGAATTTTGTCATTTAGCAAGGACTGCTGCTTTGCTGTGCGCACTGTCATAATACGTGTTCACATCATTGCAATGTTGTTATAGTTTGAATCTAAAAGTAGTTCTTGCTAATCAAAGCACTTAAAAAGGGTCCTTTTTAATTTCTCTCATAGAGATTTTAGCAGAAGTCTAAACATATACACCCACAGATTCAGCTCTATCTCTCTACCCCTTATTTTTCATGCCTGATAACAACACATCACCTTGAAGTACTTGCTGCTTTAGGAGACTTCCTACTGGTGACAGCTAGATTGTAGTTTTTCTGCATTTGTTTACTGGGCTCACGCTTTTCTTGAAATCAGCTCTAACACTGAACAGAAGAAGAGGACAGAGATCAAAGCAGTTTGCTTCTCCTTGAGGATCATGTTTCTTACTGACTTCCTCGAAGACCAATAGCCACAACTTCTTTAAGCCTGGATCCATGCTGAGCAATTCCCAAAGTTCCCATCAAGCATATCCTTTGGGGGTGGGAGCATTTGGCACTGTCTGATGTGGTGATGGTCTAGCTCAGTACCTCCCTCCAGGCTGAAGTGCAGCCATTACTGGGAAATCTCAGTAATAAAGTGTTTGCCAGGCTAAATCAGAGTCATTGGCTTCCTGGTGCTCAGCACTACCAGACAGGAGTGAAAGCAAGACAGCAGCAGTGGTCTTCGGTGCCAGGCACCGTTAGTGTGTCCAGCTGCTCAGACTCTGATGTCAGCCCATGGGCAGGGGCCAGGATCAGGCCTAGCAAGGAGAACCAGGCTGGGAACACAGCCCTTGGGTGGCCATGGGGAGAGGTGTGGCTTGGTAGGGCCCATGGATGGCCAGGGCAGGCGTGTGGGTAGACAGACACCAGCCTTGATATGGCATAGCTGTGGCAGGGACTGACAGTCCCAGGGGTGCTGTAATAGGGTCCTGGACTGTAAGGGGGGGGGGGGAGCCCCATTGGGTGGGCAGGGCCCTCAAGACCCTGACACCCAGCACATACAGCTGTTACATGCTGGTTTCAGTCATGGAAGTGCATACTTTCTTGTATGGAAGATGACAGAGCCTGTCTGCTCTGTCATTCTTGGGCCACTTATTCAGACTGAGGATAAGTCTGCCTGCGAATGCTCCTGCCCTGGCTCCACCACAATTAGCAGTGCTGAAGCTGAAGAGTTATGCTGTAGCATCACAACAACGCTGCTGCTCCCACTCCAGCTAGTATAAGCCGCTTGCGTGAAGCTTGACACCTGAGCTGATAAAACCAGAGATGAGAGACCACACAGCACAAGGTAGGGGGTTCATCAGACTGCCTTCATTATCAGGAGCTCCTGGACTGTGACAAGGAAGCACCCAAGCAGCCCCACGTACAACCTGCCGAGCCCTGCAGGTTACAGGTCCATCTGGAAGCAAGCCTACTCCCAGAGCACCGCTTGGGTGTTGCTGTGCCATGTCCTCTGCTGCAGTGAAGGAAATTGCAGTGCATTGCCAATGCTCCCAGCTTGGAAAAGCTTGAAATGCACAAAGATATTATACATGGGCTAATGTCAGTTTAATTTGTTCTGTATGCAGACCCCATGGAATCATCTAGGTTGGAAAAGACCTTTAAGATCATCAAGTCCAACCATTGGTCATGTATAGTCAAACCTGCTGATACAAAAGTGACAGAGTTGCCTGTAAGAAGAGGTGTGCCAAAGACCCCTTTGGAGGATGTGCTGCAGAAGTATGGATGGGAAAGGCAGTGGAACTAACACTTTGAAAGCTGGTAAGAGGTTCAAAGACAGAATCTTTTTGCAGACTTTTGTGGCCTTCCCACACCTCCATGTGCATAAATAGTAACCATTCTTTCCCTGGTCACATTGAACTTGAGCTCCAACTTTTTCATCATGTGAGGGAGCTGGCTCGTGTTGCAGAGGAGCTGTTTACATTCATCTGGGCACCCTTGCAGTGGTATCACTTGTTTTCCATGTACTTCAGATACTAGTGCAAAATAGTGAAGAGCAGACATCCTGATATAGCATTACTCTTACAACTAAGTTGCTTGAGGACCCTGAAACCCTCCAAAGATGCAACAGCAAACATCAGCCAAAAGGGAAGGCATACTGTATCTGGTCCTTGGCAAACAGCTTCCTCTAGGAGCAGAAGTGGGCACCACCTGTCCTTCTTGTCTGTCTCAAATCCCCATAGTTTCCTATGTTCCCAAGACCCTTGGAAGAATCCAAATATTTGGCAGACTACAACGTGGAATATGAAAGGAAGAGTCCAGCTGGTGCCAGGCCCTGAGCACCAGTGGGAAACTAAGAAATCAGAATTACAAAAACAACCAGCTGCTATGAACTGGTGCAGCTCCTTGAAAACTTGATTTGCTTACTTTACCCCTGACAAAAGTTGGCATGATCATTAAAATCAGGTAACCAAACATATTACAGCTGCAGGCTTTGTTCCTGGACCCAGCTTCAGGAATTACTCTACCTGGAGAAAGAGAGAAGGAATTAGTCATAGGTTTAAACATAACAGTGAATCCAGCCTACCTGGCCATGAAGAGAGCTAAGCTTGGGAAACATCATTTCTATTAGGGTACCAATTGGTGGCCATGTTCTCATGCTTCAAACTAAAATGTTGTCTTAGCTCTGTTGTTTGACATCATTTCTGCCTGTCTGGGAAAAGCTAAGGTCTAATAAATATGCTGAAGTCATAAGGCTTGCATAACGCCCTTGATATGTCACATGTGGAGGGAATGTGGGCCAAGCCATGCAGGGAAAGCAGACAGGATGTATTTTCCTGTCATAGGAAGTTAGGAGGGATGAGGACATGGAGAATGTCTTTGCTTCATTCAAGAAAACTTAGGCAGCTACAGATTGTCTGGAGAGGCTCCATAGTGCCTAAGCAGCCCCTCTCCCTGGCTGCCCATTTTCACTCAGCCTTCATCATCTTCCTCTCTCAGCGCTTTGCGGGAAAGCACAGAAAAAAAACCAAACCCAAACAACAAAAATCCCCAAATAAAGGCTATGACATCAGGCACAGCCATTGCTCAACTCTATTTACAGGCCTTCCTTCTTCCCTCTAAAGCTGTGTCCCACCTTGGTCTAGCTCTAGAACTAATCCAGACCTTGGGAATACCCAAACATTTCCTGCAAACTGCAGTGATCCCAGGCCCCTACCCACCCAAGACAGGACACTGGCATCCAGAAAGCTACTACAGATGACAACAGCAGCATCATAACAGCACAGTACAACAGGGATAGTTCAGTTTATGGAATATCGAAGAGAACAACAAACAAAGCCCACAGCAAACTCACCACCACCACCACCTCTTTTGTAGTGTACTAATAACACAGGCAGTTGTATCACCAGAAGTGGCTGTGCCAATGTTATGACTTCCTCTTAGTCACTGCCTGTGCTGCAGTCTTTTTACTGTGCAAGTAAAGCCAGCAGAGTACCTATTTTTGCAGGACATATCTCTGGATGTGTTCATTAGCTACAAGTGCATTCATCAGGCTGGACTGCTTTCTTTCTAGTTTTCCTCTCCAGTGAGATATCACTGGGACCTGAAACTTAGGAACCCAAGTGTCATTACTGTAACAGATATATTGGAGCCAAAGTCCTGCTAGTTCAAGGAGACTTCAACTATGGAGAAAGGGATCTTGAAGACATGCACACTCTAGTTTTAACACCAAACCAAGCATCCAAATTGTATACCAAAGAAAAGCACAAAACATCTGACTTTGTGTATCTTTTCCATCTTCATCTGTGTTATAAAAAGGCTCTCATGTCGGATTGTGCATAAGGAACCAGCTAAGGCCATGTATGCTATCATTACACATGTGGACAAAAAAACAGAATCAAGAACATATTGAAATACAATAGCTTCTAACTTCTTGGTCTTTACCACTGAGGCTCTCACAAAGATGCCTCATATCAGAAGGACTGCATATGTTGTAGCACAAGGGTCACAGCTTCTCCACATTCCATCACCTCAACTCCCCCCCCCCCCCCCCCCCCCCCCCGAAAAATCTGCAGCTTCCAGCTTCCCCTTCTTACATTCATTGCTGGAAGGTACCTGATGTCTTCATCTCTGTCAGCCGCCTCTTCTTCCTCCTCCTAAACTAATACAGCTGGTGAGGCAGCTGGGAAAGATAATCCTATGAAAAACATATTTAATGCTTTCAGCACACATTACAGGTAATGTGTGATTTTTGTTATGTTAGGATATCTGTTCCTTAACTGAAAAAGATGTACTGAGATTCTGAAATGAGTAGGTGTGGATTCTAGCTGAAGGCACAACAAAATAATTGAATTGCCTCTCCCTCACCTAGCCAGAGCTTTCATCTTCAATTTTACCTTAGCTAACGCACCAGCTACATTTTTATGACTTGCTTCCGCAGCCTCTGGGCAACCACAAATTGATCCTGATGTGCAAAAACCCTGACTGTGGATATTGAGTTGTTGGGATGCTTTTTACAAACCTCTGAATCCATCCCTCTCCCTGTTCTGTGAATTTCTGCTAAGCAAACTGTGGCAGCTGGCCTTGCAACAAAGGAGGTCTGGAAATAGAGGCTGGAGCTTCAGCTGTACCAGCTGGAAGAGAGGGTGAACTGGTATGATCACCTGGTTGCTAAACTGCAGGCCTGTTTTCCTCCTTTTCTATCTATAAAGATTCATGTGTTGCTAATTGCTAATGTGGAGGTAGATCCAGTCTGCTTTCCTCTTCTCTCTGTCCTTGAGCAGTTTTGTTTCTTTGTGGTTAATTGGCTCATACAAGATTTCCCCAGAGCATTGGGCAGTCCTACCATCAGCCAGTAATCAGCTAATTCCCTTGGAAACGCAGGAGCCCCCTGTGTGCTACCCTGCATTTGCATCTTGCACGTCTTGCACTCCTCCATGATACACTAAATCAATGTCATGTTGTGATCAAAGATGTCCTCAGAGCAAATTCCAGCAGTGATGGCTGTTGTCTGCACAATACACTATGCATTTGAGCAGCAGAAATTCTCAAGTTGTCCCCATCTAAAGCAAAAAGCCTTTGGAAATTAAAAGGGTTTTTCCTCACAAGGACTTTGATACTTTGCAGAACTGATCAGCACAAAGCATGTCCCGAAAGTCTAAGTGGTTCACTTAAGCTTTTACAAGAGGGGTGGCAGCTACCAGTGGTATCAGAGCTTTCTTATGTCATGCTAGGAATCTATACAATAGTAACTAAATATTGGTAGTTAAATAAGAAAGAGTGGGTTGCTGGTTTTAACACTGCAGCCAATGTAACTGGGAAGCAGGGGCTTCACCCCTCCTTTTTAACTTCAGCAATCCCTAAGATGGGAGCAGCCAATGGATGGTGTTTTTTCCTAACTGCCTGAGCATGATGTTGGTCCGTGTTAGACAGCAGGGACTTCACTGAGGTGTATATAGCTACCAAGTAATACCATATATTAGGAGTGCAGAGAAAACAGACCTGAGAAGTTACCTGTTAAATACCCAGTCAGAGAGGCTGAAGACCCAAGTGCAAAAGCTTCCCTTTCAGATTTCTCTGAGAACCTTCTCAGATATAAAATAAAATGTGCAAGGCGGAGGTGCATCATCACCTGTCAGTGTGCTTAAAGCTGTTACCACACCTTTCCTGTTACATTACCGAGTACGCTTGACTTGTAATAAGCCGGGAGATCACTAGATGGCCTCATCACCTCAGAGATTTGGGTACATCCACGTTCAGGCTGTGTAATGGCCAGGTGTAATTCTTTAAACACAGTCACCCTAAGCGCTGCAGAACCTAGAATCGTCACCTGGGGCGAGGTACGAGAACCTTTTAAGAACGCAGCATGTGAAATCTGGGACACTGTCCCATAGGAAGCTAGAGAAAACCACGTTTGTCCCCTTGTTGTAAGAAGGTGCTTGTATGGCCTCCCTGGACCCGTCTAGGGGGGAGATCCCACAAATTTGTCTGGCGGTATCCCTCTGTGGAGGACAGGGGGGACACAGGAGGGGTTTTTTGTTCCTTGTCCAGCCCCCAGTGGGTCGCAGTCACCACCTTGTGAAGATGCACTTCGTGGCCTCAGGGGAACTGCCACTGTTTGTAGGCTTGCCAGGCAGTGACTTACAGCAGGGCTGTGTCCTCCCAAGTAACAATAGTGCTGTGAGGGAGGACCCTTCCCTCCTGTCTGCACTGGAGAGGGTTTGTGGAGAAGCGAAGGGATATTTGGAGCAGCAGAAATATTAATGGGATGGATGGAGCATGGGGAAGAGAAACATGTAGAGGGAAAGGAAAAGAGATGTCCAGCTTGCCTGAGGAACTGACTAACTGGAGCAGTCATGGGACCATCTTTTGGTGGCTGACACCTTCAATAGATGTTGCTGTTTCAAAGAGATAGGGAAGATTGGTTGGGCTATGCCGGAGGAGGCATTGGCCTGGGTATGATATGTAAAGGAAGAAAAATACATGAAATACCATTTTTACTGCTGTCAAATTTGATTATGTGTTGTTACTCCTTTTCCCACATGTATTTTTATTAACATTTTAAAGTACAGGCCTAATTCACATCGACACAAGCCTTTTTAAAAGCACTTTAACTGAAGCAGGAACAAAGCAAGCACATGATGCCCATCACTGGCTTACATGTAGAGAAGGGCAAGGCCGAAGCGGTGCGGGATGGAAACAGACGACCTCAACCACCAGCACACGCTGCAGGGCGAAGCTGCCGTGGCCGGTACCGCCCGCTCCGCAGTGCTGCCGCTTTAAGGGCGGGCGGGAGCTTGGCCCTTCTCGGCCCGGCCCCGCGCAGCGGGCGGAGCGGAGCGGCGGCGGTCGGCAGCAGGTAGGTGTGGGCCGGGCTCTCCGCGGCCCGTGTCGCGGTCCCGCCCTGGCGGGGAGTGGCGCGGCCGGGACAGAGGCGGCTGTCGCGGTGCGGCCGGGCCTGCGCGGGTTGGGGCGGCGCAGGCCGTGGCCTCGGTGCCAGTCTTGTCCTTGCGCTTGCGGGGCTGGCGGCAGCTTGGCGGGGGGGTGCCCGGCCTCTTGACAAGCTGGGGACGTCTGACTGGAAGCCGTGACCGCCCGGTGCCGCGGCGCTGGGTGATGGCGCGGTGTTGGCCTCCCTCGGTGCAGCGGGCGGCCTTTGGCCTCGGTTAGGTCTGGCTGCCTCCGATGGGAAGCGCGGGCCGGGGTGGTTATGGTGTGAAAGGCACCTGCTGCCCTGCTCTGCCGCCCGGGGGGGGGGAGAAAAGGGGAAAGGCTCAAAGCTTAAATTGTACAGGATTTTGGTTGGTTGGTTTGGTTATGTTTTTGTGGTGGTGTTTTTGGGGCCTGTTGTGTTTAGTTAATTGTGTGGTTTGTTGGTTTGTTGGTTTTTTTTGTTGTTTGTTTTTTTTGTTGTTGTTGTTGTTGTTTTTGGTGAGTTTTGTCAGTGTTCTACTCACCCACTCATTCCCAATAAGATGGGAAGGCCACGACTGCCAAATGAAAGAATATCTGTTCTGACACCTTCCTACACTGAATACTTAAACCCAGTTTGGCATTTTGAGGGCAGCTCTTAGCAGGTACTTTTCTACCCCTACTGAAAAGAGTAGATTTAGATTAGACATTGGGAAGAAATTCTTCACTGTGAGGGTGGTGAGGCACTGGCACAGGTTGCCCAGAGAAGCTATGGCAAATGGGTTAGAAGACCCTTCCAACCCAAACCATCCTGTGATTATGTAAACTTACTTGGAAAGAGTAACCATTGTGACAGGCGATATAATGTGCTACTGAATCTGAGCCCTGCTACTTTGTAGTAATTCATGGGGGGCAAAACCAGCACACAGCATTAGCTGGTAAGATTTATATCTACGATTTCAGTTAACTTCATGCTTCCCTCAAGCAAGTGAGGATTATATAGCCCTGCCTTCAAGAAGGAAGGCAGTAATTAATTATGTTCGATAGTTACATGGACTGTGGAATGGCATTCTCCGATGTGGAAAACCTCAAAGCGTTCAGTCACATGTATTTATTTGTAATAAAAATATAAAGCTTTTAGCCAATGACTTAAGCAAAGACTTAACTGGACTATCAGCCTAAATAGCAAAGTGTAACAGGAGGGATGTTCATGGCTTAACATTCCAATAAGCAATCAAACTAAACCCAGTACCTGAAACAGAGGCCGGTGCACAGCAAAAATGCCAATAAACACATATTAACTCTTACTACAGACAAAGAAAAACTGAAGCAGTGAAACATGAAGTGTTAAGACTTTGTTTTATTAGCATGTTTTTCCTGTTGTCCCTTTAACTCATTATTCTTGAGGACAACCTTCATAGCTCTAGATGGTGAAGCTGGCCACAGTTCTTCTGTTGTACAAAACAGGCAGGGGCAGGCTGAAGTTGATTTTCTTGATGCATGATTCTGCTTTTTCATGAAAACCATTGCAGAAGAGAGAGAAAACAATCACAAACCACCAAGTGCTGTTTCTCTTGTGTCTCTGTACCTACGGTCTTGCTGCTGTGGAAGTACAGGCCTCAAATATTTCTCTGGTCATCGGTTTAGGGAAAGGTTTGAAAACTGTGCCTTGGAGCAAGTACGTCTGAGTGACTGAAAAGAAATTAGAGAGCAAGATGAGGAAGGAAAAAGATACGTAAATGCTGAAGGATGGATGAGGAAGGAGACGTGAGCAGGAAGGCAGAAAACCAGCTGCGCTCTCTTGAGGCCTCCCCTTGGGAGGAACAATCGCAGGATCAGTGTAAGAAAGAATCAGGGGGGTGGTGGGTAATAAAGTGCTGAGAGGTTCTTCTTTATCTGCCACTCAGCCAAGAGCTTCGGCTCTTCACACTCCGTTCTCCTGATTCTTAGAGTAGTCTAAACTCTGACATACCAATCCTCCATTCTCCTTCACTGCTTGTGACCTGAAAACTGGCCTGGAGTGGTGTCAGGAGGCCTTTGAGTGAGAGCTCATGCAGTCTGACTGTCTCACCTTCTAAAAACTTCATTTTTAAAAACATGTTGGATTCAGCTTCTCTCTCTTTAGACAGCTTGGAGCATGTTTCTATAGTTCCCCGCAGTGAGTGGGCTACAGTGATTGAAGCTCTCCTTTCTTCTACAGCTGAGAACATCCACGTGTGACTATTGCTCCATAAGACTAATGGAGCCTTTAAAATACAGACTGAAACGCAACAAGTCAGAAACATTCTGATTAAGATCAGTTCTTGGGGTGTTTTTTTATTTATTTATTTTCACTTTTCATTTCGGAGCTGGCAGCCTGCCAAATCTGAGAGAGAAAGAGGAAAATCTGTTGAGGAAATCCTTTAATTGCTTGCCTTTGGAAAGATGCTTTCATCTGAAAGTCTTGTCGTCCTTATAATACTTGTAATTAACAGTGTCTCTCAAGCAACCTACTGATAACCTTTGCTATGTCCATAGGTCCTGCAATGCCAGAGCCCTACTGCAGAATCTTAAGATTCAGTATAAGAACCTTAAATGGGGTAGGTTGCTGTGTGCAGGGAAATTCTAAAAGGCTGCAAGTTTAATTTTTAGCTCTGTCTGCTATCCTGCTAACTGGTTGTTTCTCACTGGATATGTTCATAGCACACTCCTGAAAGGCTGTCTTGTTACCTTCTTCCTTAAATGCCCTTCTTTAAGACTCCAAAGGCTCTTTGAGAAGGGGCAAGGCATGCAATCATGGTCATACCACAGCACATGCACCTCCTTCCTAAAACCCTGGTGGTGCACAGCCTTGAAGTTACTGAAGAAACATCACTGACATTGTTCTCCTTTTAGGAATTGTCATCTTGCTATGAAAAACAACATCCTGTGAGATTTTTTCAAGCTTTCTGCCCCATCATCTGCTTCAGATAAGCTGTGCTCTTAGCAATTGTGGGGAGACATGACCTTCCGCAGCTGGAAGTGGCTCCTCGTCTTGGGCAAGCAGGACACCTTTGCCAAGGCTTGGAGGAGCAGGAGGCGAGGAGGCCCTTCTCTGTGCTGGAAGCGCTGCAGCCATTGGAGTGCCGGCAAGTCTCTGGACCCCGAGGTTAGAGCGTTTTTGGAGGAGAACACCGAGGTCACCAGCAGTGGGCACCTCACACCAGAAATACGTCTGCGCCTCCTCACACCTCGCTGCAGGTTCTGGAAGGAAAAACCTGACCTGTGGCCTTATGGGGACCCGTTCTGGGCAATTTACTGGCCAGGAGGCCAAGCCCTCTCCAGGTAACCAGCATGAATCACTAAAGTTCTAAGTCCAGTTTGCTGTGGGCCAGGATGTCAAACCTAGCTGTGTTTGTAGTGATTCCTAGTGATGTGTATTTGCCCTGCATGAGAGTGCATTATCCGTACTCCTCTGCTTATAGAGGAGAGGCTCAGCCTTTGCTGGTTGGCAGTGAAGGTTCAGCACTTGCTGTATATAGAATAATTTAGAGCTCTTGGGTTGAAATCTGTTCTCTCCAGTGGCGATGCATGTGCTGACAACAGGGCTGAATTTGGGTCTGTGGAGGGCTGTGCAATCAAAACCTAGTGAGCTGTTTAATTTTATCACTCATTATCACTCTGAACAGGAGGATTGCTGTTTTGTCGTAACATGTGGGTTTGGTTATTTGTTTTTTTTTTTTATGGTATGGTCTGTTGAGAAAAGTAGGTTTCTGCTGATGCACTTGGAGTGTTGGTTAGCCTGTATCACCTTCCTCATGTAGGATTTCAGTAGCCTTATTGTAGCTGTCTCTTAGTCACATCTGAAGCCACACTTCTGTTTTGGCCACTTACTGTCAAAATGTCTTTAATGTTCCTGATTTCCAGGAACTAGTTAGAGTTCTTTTATTCTGTAAATTTAGATGTCTCACTTTGAACAGCAGCAAAACCTTATAATTGCTACAGCAAAGAAGCTGTCAGACATCCCCCAAATAGATGAAAGAGAAGGATCTGAATTGGGGATTTACTGTTTTTTCTGTCAGAAAGCATAAGCAACGTATTTTTTGACCAGGAGAAAGAGGAGTCTTACAAGTAAGTTGTGACTTGATTACCCTGCCATGTAGATGAACTTGAGTGTTCCTAAATATTGCATGATTAAATTAGGTAAGGTAATATCTACATTTTCTCATTGTATGATCCATATGCTTAGACATTTGGGTAGTAATAATAATTATCTGACATTTCGTTGTGTTTAAGCACTTGTTTGATGTACTGGGGATGTCAGAAATTAGCTGCATAATCTGGAAAAGTAAAAAGAAAAAGGGAGCCTGAATACATGCTGCTTCCATAACCATGCTGGTTTCATGGCCGGCATTTCCATAGCATCAGGACTCTCCCATTTCAAGCTATTCCTCTTGATGAAACCCAAGGCACCTTGTTAACCCCGCATGGCAGATAGCAGTTCCCAACGGCAGCATAATGCACTGTGTGGATGCCATGGGAGAAGGTAATTTTCATTAAAATGGAGACAGTTTCACTTACTAGATTTATAACTACATACTCAAAAGCACCAAACTCTGCATATGTAAACTGGTAGGATTTCTTGTGATGACACATAGGACAAGAGGCATAGGATGTCAGGCCATCCTCATGTCTCCTGATTTATTCTGATCTGGGTGTTCTGTATCTTCAGTCTTGGTCTTGACCTTCCTGCTGTTGTCTCTTAATGGCTTGAACTGTTTAGTATGAGGGTGGGTTGTCTTCCATTCTCCCAAGCTGGGCTCCTAGGAATCTGCATCCAGATGTGTTGGGCTCTAGCCATTAGGTGCCGTTAACACTTGACAATCTTACTAGGCCTCATTCTGCCATTCCTGCTGGTGCTTCTAGGTCCTGGCCTTTCCATCCATCCGTTCGCCATTTACACCAATCTTAACATTTCCATTAAAGCTCTCTGCATTGCAACCCACAGCAAAACCTGTGCTTACCCATAGCCCTGTACAAAGAGTCAGCTATAATCCTCCATCTTGGAACTCAACACAGACATAGAATCCTTTCTGTTTCTACTTTAAAAGAAGTTACGGCAATTGGTAGTGAATTTATGGCAATTTGCAGTAACTTGTCACCTGGGGCTCTTGCCCCCTTCACTTAAGGCCTTCCCCTTTGCAGAAGATTGAATTTCAAGGCAATTGTTCAAGTTGTGAGCCTGTGGTAATGGCTAGATGATCCGTAGTGTTCAGCAGTAACTGCTGCTTGCTTTCTGTCAGTTCTCCATTTCCAGCCCAGAGGATTTTGCTTGTGGATTCCTCTTGGCAGGTGTCAGCAACTGGGTGAAGATACCCTTTCTACTCACTGCTGCTTTAATCTCATTTGCTTACTCCTAACTCAGTAGCAACATTAAGCAGACTACAAGTATTTGCATCTGTGTCTGCCTGGCTTGGGAAAAGTAAGAGGAGACCTTGTTCTTCCAAGCAGTTGCATAAGCAGTATTTTAGGGCAATGGGTAGGCCTTATCTTTTCATGGGTACAATATTCAACTGCGAATATATCCTCATGCTTCTTCAGTCAGATTGCTTTTAATTTCTACAGATCCTTCCTTTCCGGAGTCTGGTGCCAAGCATTTTAGTCACCTTGCAGTTTGTGTCCATGTATTAGATAAGCTCACCTGTCAGAGAAGGAGCTGATTGAAATAAAATGTTGCTTACTTGGATCAATTTTTATTTTTTTATTGTGTCTGTTGGTTTTTGGTTGGGGTTTTTTGTTTGTTTGGTTTTTGGTTGGTTTTTTTTTTGGGGGGGGGGTGGAGGACAAGTAGGGGAGAAAGATGATGGGTCTTGATTTTATATCAGTATCAGCAAAGAAGGAGCCATGTACCAGCTGCACATGTGGAGTCATGTTCTTAAGATACCATGCTTCATTACATGTGTGACAAGAACTCTGCAGTGTAACATAAAACAGAAATCTGCATAATTCCGTTCATTGCTTGAATGTTGTTTTTTCTTTTCAGGTATATTTTAGATAATCCACGTGTTGTTAAAGGACGATCGGTTTTGGATCTTGGAAGTGGATGTGGAGCAACAGCAATAGCTGCTGTGATGAGTGGTGCATCGCAAGTCCTTGCTAATGACATTGACCCTAGTAAGGCCTTTTTTCTTTTCATCTCTGTGTAAAGATATTTAATAATTTTTAAAGCACATTTAACACAAATGTTTCTCTGCTCTGTTGGGGAGAAATTCATGTTCCAAAGAGAGTTCTAAGAATACCAAAAAGATGAATGGATTTTGCCAGTGTGGGAAGCTGGGTTATACCCACCTCTCTTGTACTGGGTGTATCTCCCTAGCTCTGTAGAATGAACAAACAGGAAAGTTCCTATTGAGTGTTGCCTGTACACCATCACAGCTGGGTTGGAGGAGAACTCCAAGCACAGGTGACAAGTTGGCTTCTCTGTAGGACCATAGCAATTTCTTGCCCTTCCATGTTTTAGGGCCTAGATTTTGTCTTTCCCCTTCACCCCCCATTTAGTTTTCCCATTATTGACTTATGAATTCAGTTTATTCATGATTTAGTTACACACTGGTTAGGGAGGAAGTATATACATAAAGTGTCCTGCCTTAATGTCCTGGGTTCAGCAGTTGGCATGTTCTGGTTCAATTCTGTGATTGGTTTCCATTGATATCCATTCCAGGAATATTCTTTCCTATGTCATGCTGCAGTGAGGTTAGAATTCTGTCACTTATGTATAAGTTCCTAGATAGGATAAACAAAAATATTAAAGAGATGAAATTGAAAGATATGTCAAAGAAATGTGTATGGGGCATGAGTGGCAGAATGCAAAAACATAACTTTCATTTTGTCTTTAGTTGCAGGAATAGCAATGATCTTGAACTGTGAACTGAACCACTTGACTCCCTTCCCCATCACCATTAAGAACATCATTAACTCAGAGGCTGGCAATTGGGACCTCATTGTTCTAGGAGATATGTTTTACGATGAACAGCTTGCTGATGGTCTACATCACTGGCTGAGGAAATGCATCAGGATACAGCAAACTGAAGTGCTGATTGGTGACCCTGGCAGGCATCAGTTTTTAAGCCACCGTATTCACAGTCAGTTGCACAAAGTCATAGAATATTCACTTCCCGAGTATACTAGACAAGAGAACAATGGATTAACATCAAGTATCGTTTGGAGCTATCAGCCCTCAGATAGCTTGGAAAGCTGCTGAAGCTGGCTTTCTAATGAATTCTGTCTCACGTGGTTGGCTTTTTTATTTTTGTGTGTAGATTGAAAATGGGAATTAAACATGAAACACAAGTGTTGATGCAAGGTAGATTACTGTACCTTCTCTGTATTGATTTTGGTCGTACTCACTGAGGCTTTTGCTCCATCTGAGGTAAAAACTACATGCAAACTGTATTCAAAGGGGCCTGCTCTGAAGTATAAATCCAAAGACAAGTAACATGAAAGAGTTTGCATGCTTGATGTTTTCCATATATATTCATGTTTTGCTATTTGACACTATTGTGAAATGCATTGGATGTCCAGCATATTGCTGTGGGGGAAAAGGTGGTGGCTGAAGTACTACTGCACTGCTTTCAAAGACTGCTGCAGCTTAATTGAAATGAAAATTATTGCTGTCCTTCATAAAATTCTCCACTAAAGTATTAGCTCATACTGTGCTCAAAGTGCCTTGCTCTTTTTTGAGGTATCTCTTCTGAATGTCAGAGTAACTTATTGACTGTTTTGCCCCCTCCCCTCTATAATAAAACGTTTTCTCTTCATTTAAGCTGCTGGAGTGATTATTCAGGAGTTGCACACAAATCTAAATTACACTTCTTGAACTGTAGCTAGAGTTGAAGTTTTTACTAAGTGGGAAGTGACTAAATAATAATGGCTATAGGGTAACTTTATCCTTTAGAGTAGGTCAAATGATCTACGTTCTCTAACTTTGCAGGGGTAAAAAAAGGCAATCTCTCACCATGGGAGACTGGTGAAGGTAAAGAAATCTTTCCTTCCGTGACATTTTTTAACAGAAAGTAATTACATAAAAACAGGAACTAAAAAGTCAGGTAGAACTATTTTTCTCTTCTCTGGAGGAGATACTGAACAAGAAGCCTAAGAATCATTCTCAGGTCCATCTGTCAAGGAAAAACCCTTTGCAGGGTTAAAACACTGGCCAGAGGTTGTGACTGCAGTCATCTGAAGAAGAACCAATGTTTCAGGAAGTTCTGCAGGAACTGTCACCTTCAGCAGTTAATTACTGGACAAGCAGTGATGAGGAACTAGTAACTGCAGAGTTGAACACAGTGCACCTACACCTATCCAAATACCAGGTGATATGGTAGAAGCTTATAAAAATGAAAAAGCAGGTGGTGCTCCCTCAGAAAACTATGGTGTTTATGAAGTAGGAGGTTTAGGAACATATTTACAATGTACATGGTTACAAAATATAATTTTAAAAGTTTTCATAACTATCCAAACAGGAGGTTTGCAAACTTTAATCTTCAGTACAGTAAGTATTCTGCACTGCTAACCCAACAACATACAACAGTAACAATATCCAAACAATATGGAATATGAAGACATCAGTGCAGACCAGATGTTCTTCTCCCACTTCACCCTATGCTTGTAAGCATTTTTTGAAAATGACTGTGATTTAACTTGAATCAATAAATATTTCAGTAGTTATGCTAGTAATAAACACATAAGCATACAGACTCATGCTTTGACACTGAAGGATTTAACATCACTTATGTTAAACTTTCAAGCCTAAAAATACACTGGTAATTCATTGCAGTGTTGTACAGATTTTTAAGCACAGATGAGAATCTACCACTAAGTTACACATTTAGTAGAGGCGACAGGAGAAGATGGTAAATCTACATGCACATTTAAGGACACAGTATAAGCTGCATTTGCCTTCAACCTGACAAATCCAAACTTACATTAACAAGGGCAAAAAGAACCACTCAGGCAGTGAGGTTAGTAGTAGCACTGTCCCACAGATAGAATTTGTTTCGTAAGTGTCCTTTGCTGTTAAAGATTTTGGTGCTCTTATGCCTTTAGCTGCTTTATGCCATCTCCATTTAGAATCTTCTTTCTGGATGTAGCACTTGAGATGAGAGTCTGGCGATAGTCACCACACTATGTTGTAGTTACACGTCTTACAATAAGTCTGAGGGAACTAGGCTTCTTCAGCTTGGAAAAGAAAAGGCTTCAAGGGATCTACAAGCAGCCTGCCCATACCTATTGAGGAGGTTGGCAGGATGACAGCCAGGCTCTTCCAGGGAGAAGGGTTGTAAAGTGAAGCAAAAGAGGGTCAAAACAGGATAGAAGGGAAAATCTTCCCACCATTAATATAGTCAAGCCATGGAGCAAATTGCCTCAAAAGTTTGTGAAGGCTCTGTCATCTTCAGTTTTTCAAGACTCGGCTGGATAAAGCCCTAAGGAAGCAGGTTTGAGTTCTGAGCTGGCCCTGCTTTGGGCAGGAAGTTAGACTAGAAAACTGCCGAGGCCCTGTCCCACCTGAGTTAGCTCACAATTTTACTTTTTTTGCGGTTGCTTTCTTGAAGCCAGGGCTGGCAGCATGGTCCTTATGCTTTACTTATTTGTCACAACTACTGAGAGTGTCATTGCTGCTGCCTAATCAGCTAGATGGATCAATATGAAAAACAGTACAAAACAAATTTATTGCCAACTCATGTCCAGGACTTCAAAGAAATGACGGGCCCTGACTGATAACAGGGATTCCACAGGACAATCCTATAAGCTACTCTTTAGCCAAGAAAGGGAATAAAATGTGGTAGATTACATTCTTAGGCCTCAATCTGGTCCAAGGAGTCACTGCAATTACAGCCTTCAGATGCGAGTTGCTAATATAGCAAAACCAACTTCTCCTGTTTGCAGGAATGGTTTGTACTAATGCCACTATGCCTATAGGTATCATAGGAACGTACTCATCACTGGGCTGAGACATGGCACTGCATGCAGCAGAAGCCAGGCATTTAGGCACTGGAGTTTGAAAATTATGCTTTCAGTTACACTTGAACAAGTTTTCCACATGAACTTGCTCTTCCGTAAACCATATAATCAACAGAAGAACAGAGATTATTGTCAGACATTGTAATATCCTTTAATATTACTGGATGCAACATATATTATCATCTTCCATGCAATTTGACCTGAATTTTAAATAGATTAGTAGAAGACTGGTTTATTTCTGCAGCACTTTAAATAACTGTGGCTATGACAAGTGTTAAATCATAATGTAAACATACTCCTTATGGTTGCCTAAACTCACGGCTTCCTAAGTGTCATCAGATCCATGTAAGATCACCCTAGCTAAACCCTGCTACTTCCAGATGCAGAATATCAACATAGTGTGTCACCTGCCCTGTATAATGCTAAAATTGCTAACATTTTTTAACGTTTAATGTAAAAAAATCCCAAAAGTGCCACTAGAGGTTATGCTGTTTCAAGAAAGCCAATGAACATGACTTCTAATTGTCAGCATGTAATAAACACATTTTACACTTCTAAGATTTTTTCTTTATTATGACCAAATTAAACAATATATAAGTGGTTATTTTCAGCTTCTGGGGCCACTGGAAAGAAACCACACACAGCAGAACACATACTCTGCTGAACTCTAGCATCCTGAGATTCATGTACTCATTCAATTTGGTCCTATTTCACTCACAGCAATGCTTATGAGGACCAGTGTTTTTGTTCCCTAGAAGGATTTTCATCAACTTAGGCAAAAGTCAGAGCAAATAAGTATTTGCCCATATATAAGATTTTTTTTTTAATCAGTCATAGCTACTACTTTGTAATTAAGTCACCACAACAATTTCAAAGTTTATGTTTACATGTTCACAGACTGTAGTTTTTGATGTATAAAAATCCAGCAAGTATTAGAAAATAAGAACAGAAACCTGCAGCATCAGTAACATCAAAAAAAAGGTACCTACAGTTTTTTTCCAGACCCAGCAAAAGTACATGGTGAAAGGAGACTGTTTCTTACTAAAAATACATTTGCACTGCTGTTAATGCCACCTCCAGTCACCAGTTTGATTTGTTGACTTTTGTCAGATTACAGTCCCAACCTTACAGACACTCCAGCATAATGTTTGGGTTGGTACTTTTAGTTGCAACTACCCTCTCAGACTACAAAGTCAGAACACAGACTTACTTAAATTTGGTTTGTATATATAACTACGATGGTAAAAGATACAGAGTAGTAGCCAAATCTCATACTTGAAGGAGGCTGAGCGATGACAGTGTAATATTAATTATAGTTTAACTCTCCTCTTACCGAAGTATGATTAGCAATGCAAAGACAGACAGGGCTCTAAGTAGAGACAACGGGGAAGCCCAGACTCACAGGCAAGGACTGGAATGGCGATGGAGACCTCTAGTGGGAACAAGGAGGGAAGCAATCTGATGGTCCAAAAGTCACCAAGGTGCTATTTCTCCAAGGTGCTTGTTTTCTGAAAGAGCTCTCCCAGCTGTAAACTTTACACTCATACGTACATGATAAACAATCAGTAAACAGTCCATGTTACTTGTTTGATTTTGTTTGATATGACCAGCTGTTCTAAAACTTCTCGGGAACGATCTGCAACAGAACCAAGGAATTTCTTGTTATTCATTCAGAATATACGTAAGTGGTGTTTAGAAATTTGGTTAACAGCAATATAATTCCATATCTGCATTTATGCTTATTATTGTAATTTGCTATTACAATATCGCACTTCAGATACACCTGTAGTAATTCAAAACTACTCAATTTTTTCTCCAGTCACATAACTGCAATGCATCACCAATCAACCAAACTTTAAAAACTCAAGATATATCATAACCTCTCTTAAATTTGTTTTAGGCTGACCAGTCATTCTCCGTTCCACTGCTTCTAGAATGGATACTGTTGCATACTTTTGGAATAGAGGAGGGGTTTAAGATGCTAACACATGTTTCTGAAGTCTTATCATCAACTTTAGGTCTTCATCAGCACGTTGGGCTAGGGGGGAAGGGAATTAAAAAAATCCAAATTCAAGAACAACAACAAAAATTCCCTCTTTGATGGTTTCCATATATCAAAGCAAAACTCTCACCTTGCTTTGAAAAATCTCACAGTATGACTATTAATTTATTGAGCTATTATTTTTTGGGATTATTTACAAAGTGTAGTGTGTGTTTCCAAACACCAAGAAGATACTATCAGAAGTAATTACTCTTCTTGCTTGCTGCATGATTTGACCTACCTGTTATCAAAGGGCATCCATGGAACAGAAAAATATGTATCTTCGGACAACAAGTAAGGACCGCTTCCACAGCGACATCAGTCAGGTTCACACAGCGTTCCATGTGGATCTCCTGTTATGAAAATAGTAGTTACAAAAGCCTGTCAGGGCACCCATCATTTTGAAGGCAGAGCTTTCCTTTGTCCAATCATTTTCATAGATTCCCACCTAGAAGAAAACTTGACCTACTGTGCCTCTTATGAAGGCTATCTGCATAGTCTCAGGGTTGTTTAGAACAGCTGGAATCAATGTTTTGCTACAGCTAAAGGTATAACCAGCTAAAAGACAAAGACATTTTCAAGTCAATTCTAGTATATAAAAAATATCTCACTGCTATTTTCTGAAAGATAGTATCATCTTGTACTACATCACTTATGAAGACTAGATTCAAGACTAAAAGGTTTGTCCAAAATAGACAAAATTAGCTGGGAAAGAACCAAACCTAATTGTTTGCCCTCCAAATAAAACAGTAACAGTTCTATTTTTCCAGGTTATTAATACTGTCAGTTGACTCAGATTTGGTATTTTGTTTGGGGTTGGCTGTGGGGGGTTTTTTTGGTGGTTTTTTTTTGCCTTTGTTTTTATTATAAGCTAGCAACTGTGACTTGTTTCCCATCTTAACTTCTAAATGCCTAGCTTGGATTCAGCACCACTCTTTACGAAAGTAAACACATACAGATATGCACTACATAGAAAAGTAGATCATTTGCGGCAAGAGGTATGGGATGCCTCTTCAACATTTTATCACTGTCTCAGTGTCCAGATATTCTTTACGCAAAGACAACTTCATTTTCACAGCTGCTTTCACAAATTAAGAGATTTATCTGTGCAGAGTTGCTAAGTGATTTCTTGTATCTGTGAAATTATTCACATTACAAATTCTGCCTCAGTGTTCAACAGAATCAAGAAATAACTACACAGAAATCAAGGGAAAAAGTTAAGCATTCATTTGCATTTATTATACAGCTCTCTGAAAGAATGTGAGTTAAAATAAGCATACTACATTAAACAGCAGAAAACTCATTTTGAAAAGACTGAGCTTCTCAAAAAGCTAGTATGGGGCACTGCTACAGAGAGACAGAGATTGAAAATATTCAATTCATAACCAAGATCAGGCCAAGTGTGTACATAAAGGCAAACGTCAGTCAATAAAAACTGTCCTTCAGAAGCAATACTGATAATAACTTTAAAATGCAGGCAACTGTTTTAGTTCATTTCTTTGTTATTAGGTTACCTTTAAATTTTCCGAACATGTTCCACTTACTAGTGCTACAACACCATCATCTGTTACCTAGAGAAAAAAATCACGTTGTTATCAATACAGCAGATTAAAGCTCATTTTTTCCAATACAGCTATTTGGGGGTGTGTGGAAATGTTATTAATTTATTCACTCCCTACAGTCACGGAATACACTGAACATTACAGGATTTTCTTCCCAGCTAAGCTTGTAGAGAAAATTACCCAAGTATAGCTTTTTTTCAGTCTGTTACCTACTGTTGCATTATACTGCTGTGTGATCCAGCCTGCCTTTCTAAACAGATGTTTCCAACTGTGTCACTGCTGGTCCTGCAGCTTCCTTGCCTCACTGAACAGTGGCCACACTACCATGGTCAGAGCATTGCAGTTTTTAATTTCTTAAGGCTTAAACCACTTGTGCTCTACCCAGACTATTTTTTCTCCTGTTTTCAGGACTGCTGCAAATATTAATGAAATTTCTTGGATTAGGAAAAAAGACAAAAAAAGGAATCACAGGAGTCTTTTATCTGTTGTCTGAAGCAAACAGTTACACAAGAAGAAAATCCCTCAAACAAGCAGCCTTACAGCAGTTACCATGCACTTGCTCTAAAAGTTTCATCAAAGTGATTGAACAATGATTACCTGCAAGCACAAGGAGAGAGACAAAAGACATTCCTTTCCTTAGAAAGGCAATAAAGGGCAATTTACTTGTTTGCTTCCAGGAACCAAATTCATTAAACTTCTTCTTCACTTTGAAAGCTGAACTGGATGTCACATTCATCACACAGGGTTTTTCACAGAGCTTATATTAGATGGCAGGAATAGTAGTCACCAAATACACGCAGTAAGGCTCAGCCAAATCGGACAGCTAGAATCCACAGACCACAAGCTCGATTTCTGTTTAAAAGTTTGGTTATTCCTGTTGCTCCAATTGTTTTCTGGCCCTCTATTATCAGTCTGCCTTACAGAACTATAACAGAAAGGGTCAGATCAGTACAAATGGAGAACGGACAGGAATGTCCCAGCATGAAGGCATATAAAGGCCTGTAAGAACTGTTAGGTATTGTCAATACCTATCTTAGCAGGTCATTAAGATGGCAACACATTTAGCACAAGACACCCAGACCAGGAGACAAAGAGCAGTGAATGAATAAATTCTAATAATTCCCACAAGTGGGACAGAATGGAGAGAGTAATTACTGTCAGTTCCCAAAAGGGTATAAAATGACACATCCAAAACCAGTGGTCACCAATCTAAGATCAGCCTGAGTATCTCCATGTCACCAAAACAAACCTGGGCCAGACTGAACACTGGAGAGATCATCTGAATGCTACTGTCTTATTGCTTGTGGGTATATGGTTATGACAGCATGAGAGCATGAAACCAGTTTTGTATTACAACAAAGTCCCCTCCCTTCCCTGCACCACTTCCATACCTTCTACTTACTGTACTTTATCTCTGCAGGCACCAGGTGAGACCTATTTTAAAAATGGCTACATCACCTTGAAGCATTTAGTCCCTCTGTGGTCTAGCTCACATCTGCTTCCATATTCTTACAAGTGAGCTGTGTCCTCCTTTGCCTGCTCATTTATTTCCAATGTTCTTGCCATCTTACTCTTTCACACAGCTTTGTGAGTTACACTTGATACTTTTACTATGCACTCTGGCACTCAAACACAAGAGTATGGTTAGGCCTGGTGATCTCTAGAGGCAAGAGCCATCCATAGTTTCTCTGCTTCACTTCACACTTATTTCATTTATATCTTGTATACGTTTCTATTTATTTTTAGTAAAAAAAATCAGAATTCTAGTGTATTATCATGGTATCATTATCAGAAAAGAATTCAAAATGTGGAAACATTTAGTTACTCAAGAAACTTTAATCTCATTTAAAACACGGAAAATGGGGAAACTTAGTTATTTCCTATGAAGGAGAAGAGAGGCAAGGGAGCAAAAAAGTAATGAAGAAAGTTTGAAGAAATAGAGTTAAATGTTAAAAATAAAAATTACCAAGGAAAAGATTAAAATTACTTTTGATGCTCTACTTCTGCAAAATCAGAAAGAACGGCATCTAAAATAAGAACCTGTTGTGTGTTTTCCAAATCTGACACTTCATTATGAATTCTCTGTGCTTGGCTCACATTCAACATAACCACTCACCATCACAGTCAACCAGATGTTTACAGCAGAAAATCCTACCCTCACTTCATTATCTTACTGTAATTATAAAGTATGTTACAGCATTGCTGTTGTAGCTGAGCTCCCCTTCTTATGCAGAATACTGTTGTTCTCTTACCTGCCCTTTCTGACATTTTAAATGTAATTCTTTCCAAGTTGACTCCGTAACTCTGACAAACCATTGAGAAAGCACAGTCACTCCTGAACTAGAATTAATTACAGTGTTTACTTCTACTAGAGGCTTATATTGTTTGATATCCTGTATTAGTCAGGTCAGTTTATTCTAACAAAAAGCCGATGATATCTGTAAGATTCTACTTTCTTTAAATGAAATATTTTTGATTACAACTTGAAGAAAATTATTGCTCTCAATAAAGATACTGAAAAAAAAATCTCCACCATTACGCTGATTCTAATAAAAGTTTATGTTTGGTCCACAATACATGCTGTAATACCAAAATGTGTTTTTTTTCTGGTTACCAAGATGCAAACTATGTCTTTCTTCTTCCTTGAAAGGAGGAAATTGGAAGGACCTATGGTCCTAAATCTTGTCAAGAGTACAGCTAAAAAGATCCCTTTTCAACCTTATCATGACAATCTTATAAAATAAACAAATAGAAGTCAATTGGCCAATTGCCACCATAGCTACCTGAGTAGATGAGAAATCCACACTGTGAAGAAATCTGCAGTTTTCTCCTAGTGCTTGCAGAGATGCATCCATGATGCCTGAACAACTGCCCAAGTTCACTATTTGTAGGAACTGGCAGTTGAGCGCAAGAGCAAGAACTCCACTGTCAGTTATATCACAGCACCTTTTAAAAGATGCTTCACGCAAGTAAGGACAGGATAAGGCCAGTGCTATGACACCTGTCAGAGAAACAGAGCAATTTAAAGAATTACTTATTTTTTTTTACATAACCACCATGCTGAATCCAGTATGCTGCCCTCTGGTCATTGGCTGCTTAACTTTCATCTCATGCCATCCCAGCAGACTCAGTTTTGCGGTTGGTTTCTTTTAATTCAAGAATAAGAAAATGACAATGAACAATGAACAATGCTGGAGTTGATTAAAATTTCTAAATACTGAATTCCCTTCTGTAATGCAGAGGGATACCTGAGAGATCTTACATACATGAGGTATCAGCTCAGTGAGTGCACAAGGAAAGGCCAATAGCTCGAAAGCAGAATAATGGTAGTGCTAGGTCCCAGGTAAAAAGTGAGGTAAGAAGTTACGTCAAAGGTCAATTCAAAAATCAAAACAATAGTTCAGAAACAGGACAGGAACCAGGTACACCTATGACATGGCTGAGGACAGGACTTGAGGGTCCCTAGGCAGTTAGCGTAGGTGGATCTGGCAGGTGAGACCAGTCATGGCCATTAGGGTCTGTTGGTGCCCTAAGAGCCCAGATAGTCAGTAATGACCAAAATATTGGTAGTCAGTAAAAGTACATGAACCACAGATGCAAATTGTGAAGGAACTTTTATTGTAAGGATGACAGAAACATGATAATTATAGGGGTACAGAAAAATACATTGCTTCTGGATAGATAAAAATAAACAGCTGAATGACATTAAGATATGTTACCATGCAAGAAGTCCACGGAAGCATTGATAAAATAGCACACACTTGGGTCAAAACCACTTTGCAAAGAAGGACAGAACAGACAGTACTGGTAGTTGAATTTGACAAAGAAGTACCACTGGATATTGTATTAAGGGACATGAGATATTCCATGTGCAACCTATAGAGCAAATGTTTCAGGGCTCAGATATTCCTACATGTGGTAGGCAACAGGATTGTTAAGACAAACAAAAAAGCCTCACTCAAACAAACCAAGCAGTGCCCACACACACACCCCTAGTACTGAATTAATAAAAGGTAATGCAAATGGGTTGGGTTTAAGTTGGTTTGTTTTGTTTTTTTCTCTATGAAAACTGAGATGAGTGAGAAAGAACTGTTCCAGCTTAAATTAAAGGCTTCATAACTGATTCTCAATTTAAAAGAAGGAGAGTTAGTAAAATTCAGTGGACTAGGAACTTGCAATAAAGAACTAGACTGCAATTTTAATTACAAAGTGATCAGGAACCTCTATCCAAACAGACAAAAGGCTTAGCTGGTACCTTAAGAACCATACTAGAAATCAGTGGATAGATGAAGCCATGGAGGAAAACCATCACAAACTGTATCTCAGGGGTCAAAAAGTGTAACGAGGTGACATTGAAAAATCAACAAAATCCATTTTTAAAAGTTTAACCACTTAAAAAGTGTACCAGTGTGCAATGGTAAGAAAATACAAACCAGGACTGATTTAAAGTATGGTATACATTAGCTCAATACTAAATGAATATTTTGCCTCAATTTTCAATAAGGATGAGTAAATGATGGAGCAAGGAGTAAGTCTAACCAAAAAGACAAAACAAAACTTGTGGGAAATAGAATTCAGCAAGCTTAATTCTTTTAAGCTAATAGCTCCTGATACTTTTAACCTCCAGTTTCAAGTTGTAACACCTGAAATCCTGAAGTCCTAAAGCAAGTCAAGTCTTTTAAGTCAGAGAAGATATATAAGCTTATTTAATAACAAACACATTTGATGAAACTTCAATCCCAGTGGTATTGGAAAGGCTCTGAAACAAGTTCTGAGGAAGGAATAATTATGATGAAGTGGAACAGATTATCAAATGTACCACAGTTTTACCAGAAAACTATCATGAGAGTAACCTGATAGCTCTCTTTTGTAAGTTAATCAATGCTCCAGGCCTGTAATTTACAGAACCGTGTAATTAGTATTGGTGTGACATTGGGGACTTTTTTAAGCAACATTTACCCAAGACATTTTTTGCAACTTACTCCAATCTAACAAGAAAAATGAAACAGAATTAAGATCCCTGTTACCTGTGCACAGACAACATACCTTCTGAAGTGATTCCAAATCTGTTTTCTCTGCAAGAGTTTAAGTTGATTTTTTTCAGTTGCTTGCAGTTATGAAGCTGCAGTAACGCATTATCTGAAATATCACAGTCTCGAAGGTCTAGAGACTCTACAGCAGGGTGCAATACCTGTAATGAAAACATACTGTTTCAGGCAAACTCTGCTATGCCATAGAACATACCTATTTTTATCTAAAATCCTTGTAATGTTAGACATGACATAGAACTTTTTAAAAATATTCACTAGGGGATGGGGTTCCCAGTTCTAGGAACTAAAAATTCTAAAGAAAATATGGTATATTTGCCACAACTGTTCATCCCCTACAGCATGACCATTCCATTTCTGTGATCACATCTACAGTAGGAGCACATTAACATTACTATTTAAACAGTGGAAATACTGTTTTGATGGTGCAGTTGCTATCACTAATGCTTCTGCTAGCTCACCTATGTTTACCGAGGAGAACACCCTCAAAGTCTTACAATTTTGATGGCAGTAATCTGAAGTGTAAAAATATACTGATGACGATCAAAACTTAAATTCACTGAACAGAAAAGGGTAATATTTGAAAGATATTTTGCCCCAGTGTATTTCTGTCACCTACACACACGCGCTTTTTCTCATAAACAAGCAATCCCATTATCATACCATGAGGAGGTTCTAAATCCTCATTAAATAGGCTGTTTCACTCCCATAAGACCATAGGTTGGATTTTGTGAAATCTTCCCCAAGGGGACATTTTTTATGAAATTTAGACCCACAGCAATGGAAATCCTCTGATTTTAGTAACAACAGCCATATATATAACCTCTAATTTAATTTTCAAGCATTCCCACTACTTTTTAATAAATACTGTTCATAGCTCCCTCTTGTGCAAACAACCTATACCTTCATTGAGCTGTCTTTCAGAACAACAAGCAAGCACTAAATCAAATTTTCACATTACTATTACTCCCTTCAGCTTGCAATTCCCTTCCTTAACAAAAATAAAACCATACAGTAGATTTCCATACACAAGCAAAGGTAACAGCATAACTGACAGGCTTGTTAAAGGCCTATTTCTTTTTCAGGTTCACCATTCTAAGAGGCACAGTAAAGATATTACAAGGAATACTTATGTTTTGCAAATATATAAGGTGCTAAAATCTTTACTGACAAAGTCAAATAAGTCTTCTGAAAACCAAGCAAAACTTTCTGATTTCTGAATGGCAGACCTCAGATAGCTTTGACAGCTAAAACCTAATATGTCTCAAAGAAAATGGAACTTTAGATAGAATAAGGATTGTTTGGATGCAGAGTTCAGGAGACTGAAGTACAGATGTATATCTTGTGGACATATGCTGAATGGCTTTATAGATCTTTATGGTAAAAGTGAATTGGAGCACGGAGTTTACCATGTGTTTCATGAAAGGCTGCTCTAAGGAAAAAGCAGAATAAGGGGAAAAAAAATGCATGATAACACAAATCTGGAAAGAACAGGGAGGTAAGAGATGAAATACAAGTTTATACATAAGTGCAACTTAACAGAATTTCTACTGGAAGATCTTTAACCTTAGGCAAAATACTTAAACACCATAGAAAGGACATACATAAAAGCAAATGAGATAATACAGCCTGGAAAATTCCAAGAGAATAGACCTAGCTACAGTACCGTGGAGACTATGAAAGAAAAGGCCAGGACAGAAGTAATAGCAAAGAAAGAGAATTCCTTATCTGTATGGATGACTAATTGAAACATTGCAAATGTGCCACATGTAAAATATTTCAGTCATACATGATGTGAACAAGGAGTAGTAAGAAGAGCTAATTAACATAAGCCATTTTTGCTATGCTAAGCAGAAAAAATATCTGCAAGATGACGGAACAGGAAAACCGCAGAGCAAATTGGTATGGAGAAATGCTATGTGTTCAGAATTCAAGAGGTGGCCAGCGTATTTTTAAACATACAAGTGAAATAAACCTGGAAACTGTTAGTAAAGAGAGCTAAGGTATAACATGTCTAAGAAAAGTGATGACAGCTAAGGCTATAACTGCAGGAAATTTCAGGAACAGAGAAAGTAGAAAACACATGAGAAAAGGAAGCAGCACAGAGTATCCCAGTGTCAGAATGGAAAACAGCCTCCAAAGAAGGCACAGCTGAATTACAAGTAAGATGAGATTTTACAAACAGAGGAAAAGACTGTATCTTAAACGCTCTAGTTTATTTCCAGACTAAAGATATCCTAATAGGTTTTGCACATTTATAGACACACAATCATGTGGTTTTAATTATATATATCTGTTAGGATGCTTAGAAAGGATTACTTACTGAAAAGATAGCCTAAACCAAATCGTGTCAACTCAAACCTTTCAAAATAAGATAAATGAATAAGACTCTGATTTTTACTCAGAGACTTATTTTGTACAATCCAAAAATGGTGTGTACTAAAGATAAAATTTCTTGTTCAGAAGTTTTCTACAATACTTCCGATCCTGCCTCTAGTCTTGGCTTCACTATTCTGACTCTAAGAAACTGATATTATTTGCTTCTTACAAGTTACAGGTCAAAGCAGGAATGAACAGGGAGTCATTCATTTTACATTTCACTAAGGCCAACCTTTAGCTTTCCTCCATTCTCTCATCTCCCTTTGAGGCTAAACAAGATAGCAATAGATAGATACCAAAACAGACGTGCCCCTGAGTTTGCAGCTAAAACAAAAGCCATTAACTGGTTTCATTTTGAAAAACTGGCACACATCAGTGAGCAAAAGTGATGAGAGAATTTGACCATCGATTTCTAGCCCTCCCATCATCATATAATTTATTTAAATTTTAATCCTTTGAAATATGGAGATCATGTGCATAATGTCAACAGAACATAGAAGAAATCTAACAAGTTCTTGAAATCTTTTTGTTACTAAACTATGCACTAGCTTCTTGAAACACACTACATTCAGGAATGGAAATTGGTTTTCAAGTCTAGTTTCCCACACTGAAAAGAGAAGATACATGTCACTGAACAGAGAACACTTTTATCACTACAAACATAATCTTATTACTACTAATAAAGGTTAATGAAGGCTATTGAAGTTTAAGGAAAAAACGGTAGAGATATACAGTAAACAGGCCTGAATTTATCTGTTGTCTAATGTAAAGTTTTAGTTTAGCTCTTTCTTGTGTATTAACTAGCACAGACAGTATAGTTTTGAATGGGTTCTTACCTCACTGATATTTGAATCAGTTATTTGCCCTTGCCTACTCATTAATTTAATTAGTTTATCCTTTATGTTGGGTGGCAATGACTTAATATCTGCAGCATATCTGGAAAGGTTCTTTGTCAAACACTGAAGGCACCTGAAATAAAGGAAAGTTACAGTATAGTCAAAAATAGGCATTACATACTAGAATTAGAAAAATCAAGCCATAAGATGTCATCTTGTGCATCTGGCTATGCTGCCTTCAAACCTTATCAGTTCCAGCTGTTCCATGCTACCACCAATTCAGCTGTTGCCCTTTGGGGTCAATCAGCTGATCCTTCTGTGGCAAGTGTTCCCCAATCAACGCTAGGCATAAATTAGCCTCATTGACTGCAATCACTAACCCAGCTCACAAAATGAGTTTGTTGGTCATACATTCATAAGCTCTAAGAAAAGCCTTTTTACCAGCAAAGCCTCCACTTGGTAGGCAGTAAACCTTCAGTTAGGACAGCTGGTTCCAGAGAAGGAGCACCTTTGATTCACCTCAGCTAAAAACGTCAAGGAGCTATTTTCAGATACAGTATTTTGTTCACTGCCTAGTTTGTAGCACTCTTTTAATATGAATTGTGCTGTGTAACCTTGTGCCCAACTCTCTTAACTCTGTGCTTAAAACTAGATCTGATGACAGACGTTTGTCACTTGAGACACAAATTTTTCTATCCTAGTATTATCTTTACTGATTTTGTATTAATAAATCATGAAACTGTGAGGTCACAGAAATAGTACTGCCAGAACAAGTGGCTGAGGGCAGGGGGCAGCAGTAGCCTAGAGTTAAGCCAAACGAGATTTAGCACAGAGCCACAACTCTGAGTCTCAAGTGACAATTTTTTTCACCAAAAGAACTTTGTCTGGCACCAGACTGCCACCAAATCACGACAAATTAAATTCATATCAATTGAAAACTCATGAGAGGTCAAAATATTAAGGCTCTACAGTCTGAAGTGTGGCACAGATTTAAGCAAGGAAAGAAGCAAGATTTCCAGTGTGGAAGCACATTAAAAAAAACACTAAAGTTACCACAGTGCAGTCAGGGCACCTCTAGCAGGTCACTGCAGAAGACACTAACTTCGAAGACACTGATGTCAAGCTGAATCTAAGCAGTGTAAACACAGGACTGGCTTGCAGTGTATCAGCACAAGTTGCTGTTACGTAACCTAAGCACACACCCTGACTGCCTTCAACTTGTTCCCCTGGAGATGTGTAAGAATGCAGTATCTTCACCAAACTGTGGTGGCTGCTGGATGAACTTGGCTAACTGACACTGAGAAGCCTGTACATGGCTCCGAGTCAGTGCATGTTCAAGCAAGTTACACCACCCACCTTCTTTGTCTTGAGATTAAACAGCATACCTACATGTAACATTCCTTTGCTTAACTGCAGAAATAAAGAACAGTTGTTTACTTCCTAAAAGAAAATCTCATCAAAGCTCCAAAGACCTCACCCCAGACGGGATCTGCACAGCATGCTGCTCAGTGTGAGGGGGGCTGTTCTGATGCTGCCATAGCCAGGGTCCCCAGCGTCAGAAGGAGCAGCAGACTGCTGTCATGTTTTCTACTATCCTTTATGTAATGAACCAGTTAACTAGCCTTGAAAACCCACATCTTTCCTGTGGAGATCGCAAATGCACCAGCACCTCTTCAGTGTTAAAACAGCACCTATCTTTGGCTAGGGTGAGTCAAATAATAGTTTCTGAGCCTTTTGGGGGGGCTATGTGTGCACTTTCCATGTGGCTGTTCCCTCTTGTATAATGGATGCCATGCGAATGGGCAAGCAGTCCTCTATCATACAAGGGCACACACTTCAGTGCTGAAGTGCTAAATGCATATTTTCATATGACTCTACATTTTGGCCACTGGGTAAATGAACTTGTCAATTCATCCTGAAGGAGGCCAACTGTCACCATATACTGTAGTACGTAAAAACTGTGGTATCTAAAAACTCAATGCAAATTTAATTTTTTTTTCTCTTGAAGATAACTAAGTGGCTAACACAGCCATGCCGGAGTAGGGACAAAACAGACTGACTTACTTGGTTCAAATTTGCAGAAAATACTTCAAAAACCTATACAGATACATGGAAATCAATGTAAGCTGTGCCAAATCATCTGGTTACATTTAACTGTCTCTTGCCACATAATTTTAATCTTAGCTTGAGAGGAAAGTTTATCAAGATTAATTATATTATTTTTCAAACAGCTGGTGGATATTCTCAGGGTACATTACTGCTCTACAGTTTAAACAATCATTTCAGTTATGTTTTCACTCTTATTCTACTTTATAAGAAACTAAACCGCTTTTTGGCTACACCAGAGGAACTATGTCATATTCAGTGCTTTAAAATAAGAATGAAAGTCTAACTGTATTGTTTACTAGCTAATTTCAGTTGTCAAATCAAATACTTTATTCTTATGCTCAGACTCCCTCCTGAACGCAGAGGAATCTGGCATAATGAAAACCACAAAGAAAACACCATTCAGTGGATTCACTGGGGCCAGGTGAAGCCAGGGATCCTCACCCATCCCTCCACATCCAGATGTGTCAGGGATCATCCCATGCTTTACCTGCCAAGCTCTGTCACTTCTGTCAAACCCTGCCACCTGTCCTGGAACTCTTCCCATGCTGTCACCCCTGCCAAACCAAATCACTCACCCTGCCACCCCATCAAACCCCGTCACCTCTCCTGGGGCTCCCACTGAACCCTGCCGCCTGCCCTGTCACCATGACCAAACCCTGTCACCAACTGTGCCATCCCGGCCAAAGGCTTGCTCAACCCTGCCCCCCTGGCCAAACCCTTCCTCCGGGCTCCCCACAGGAGGCTCCGAGGGCTGCTCGGCGGCGATGCTTTTACTCGAGGCCGCGGTCCTGCTTTGAGCGCAGCGACCTAACCCGCCCGGCTAGCCCGGAACCCGCCGGACCTCCGGACGGAGAGGGGGCCGGCGGGCACAGGGACAGGGTGTCGGGACGGCACTCACAGGTCCAGGAGGAGTTGGGCTTCCTCGCCGGCGCCTTCCCAACCGCCGCTGAGGCGGCTCATAGCAGCGGCGGGAAACGGGGAACGCAGCACCGCCCGGACCCAACGGCTCCGGCGGACGGTACCGAAATGGCGGCGGCTCTCTCAGTGCTGCAGGCATGACGGGAGATGTAGTCCTGCTCTCTGCCAGCCCTGGGATCGACTCGGGGGTCGTGGCGGAGACCGGGGGAGAGGCTCACGAAGCAGCATGAAAAGCCCCAAAACTCGCACAAAGTGTCAGTCTCTCCCCACTAAGCCCCCAGCGCTTAGTATTTAGGACAGAGTTCTTCCCAAGCAGGGGAGAAGCACAAGGGGACCTGGGGAGATCAGCCGCCTTCAGGCAAGGGGTGCAGTTGCTTCAACCAGTTTCCCTCATAGCTGGCATCATTGCAGTCACACCACAGCACCGCTTTTCCTAACCTCCATTAATCTGCAGAGATGAGACCCTGCTGCCTGCCAGATCTTGCTATTTGCAATTCAGTTTCTTTTTCCTTCTGTCTTTTACATTTCTGTCTCGATAGTGTGGTATAAATTTGGACTACACAGTTCTTTAGACCTAACAACATTATTAGCATATAATGCTGATCATTATCTTCAGACCTGTCACTCCTACTAAAAAGAGCAAGTGATCAACTAAGATAAGGAAACCCCTGTTTACCCAGAATTAAGTATCTAGGGGAAACGTGGGTTGCTGATGATTCCCAGATAACTGCTGAAATCAGTGACTGCAACATCTGGATTAACAGATAAACCTCAAGGATGCTGATGGATGATGATACTACAAGACCTACAAAATGTACTTTGTTATGATTTAATAGTTAGAAATATGCATTAGTAGGTAATAGGATGATTCATATCATGCCCTTAAGAGCATAAGCTATAAAATCACTTAAAGAAAAATCACCTGGATGTTCCCGTTTTGGCTGGGACACTTCACGCACATGGATAAATATTTACCTTTGTAATTCTATTCAGTCAGCACGGGCCAGTTGTGATTTTTTTTTTTAACAAAAGCAGGAAGCACAGGAAGCCAACAGGGCAAGCTTTGGTTTAGCCTTCCCCTTGACTGCGGAAATGAGGCAACTCAGAGGCGCTGAGGGGTGCTTACTGTAGCAAGAACCGAGTGTGCCATCTGTGAGTTGCTTGGGAGCATTCCCATTCTATATGCAGGAGTCGTTTACTAAATATCCCATAAGTCTTTTCTCCTTGTCTTACGACCATCTTTTTAAGAGGTGACACTGTGTTAACACAGTGCTTCCATAAAGCACAAGTTTCCTAATAATTATTAAGAACACACAACATTTCCCTTAGTTCTCTTAGCCCACCTTCAAGCACCAGCTTTCTGTCAATCCTTTCATGGACAGAAGAAGGAAACAGACCTTCTCTTTATTCATTCCACTGTCACTTGGAGAAGGAAGTTATCATCAATGCATTTCAGGAACCTCCTGGGTTGCTTGTGCCCTGCTGTGTTACCCCTACAACGGATGCCAGGGTGGGTGAAGTCCCCCATGAGAACCAGGGCTTGTGAATGTGAGGCTGCACCTACTTGTCTATAGAAAGCCTCACACTCTCACTCTTCCTGGTTTGGTGGCCTGTAGCAGAACCCCACTGTAATATCCCTTGCCCCTGCCCTCCCTTTAATCCTGATCCATAAACTCTTGGTCAGCTCTTGATCCATCCCATCTTATTTCTCTGTCATACACTGCTTGAAATTTTCAGAATGGCTTTCCTTTATTTATTTTTTTTTTTTTACTACAGATCTTGTGACTGTTCACTGTCTACATATTAACAGTATTTTCCTTACATAATGCCTTTTAGCCCATAGCATGTATTAAGGAATTCCTAATTTCCCATGGAAGTTCAGATTTTTCTTGAATTATCCCATATAAAACTCCTCCAAGTTCTTTGGAGTGATGCAGACAGTTTAATATGTTCCGTTATGTGCTTTGGGGTCAAGCTGAGTGGTCTCACTGCATAATTTAATCTGAAAATAACATTTATGACGCTTCTGTGGATAATGCATCACAGTTCTTGTTAATTCAAATCACATGGCTGCAGCTGTGTTGGCCTGATGGGTCAACAAGGCAGTCTTCATTCTTAGAAACATCATTGTGAGGCAGTGCTTGAAGAGCTAGTTGGAGTAGTAACAGCTTAATTGTTGTAATATAAAATAAAAACAGGTCACTCTATGGCTAATTCCTTCCTATGAGCCTACAATTGCTCTCTTAGTATCAGTGTCCTAATTTGATTCATTATTACTTTTAATATCGTCTTAGCTCCATATACTCTGGTCCAGGCAAAACTGCATTGGCCCTGATTACGTTACCTCCACTGAACTCACACTAAAGGCCTGGGTTTTGAGAAAGTGTCTCATTCCGGTCAAAGGCCTGAGCGCAGTTTTGCTTGTATTCTCGGGAACAGAACTGAGACTCAAAACAGAGTCAAGCACCAAGGAACTGTATTTGTACAACAACAGATTTGCAAATTCCAGAGAGAGAGAGAGATGAAGAGAGAAAAGAAGGAAAGTAAGAGGAAAGAATAAAAGAGTTCACAGCAATAGCTTCTGTGGAGGATGGATGCAGCTTAGTCTCCACCACGAGCAGCAGTTGGGATTTCATACAGACGGTTGGACACAGGCCTTGGGAGAGATAAAAATAAAGAAGAGAAAAGGAACCAGGAGAAATAACAAGGAACTAGCTCTGAGCAAAAATGGAATGTGTAGACACTGCATTTGCAATAATGTGATTATAAGATGCTGTGTTTGCAATAATGTGATCATAAGACTAACATGAGATAAGCCTGTGCAAAGAAAAAGGAATAATGTCATAATCTTGTGATCAATATTTTGTATAGAAATAAGGGGAGCAAAAATTGCTGTGCTGCACTTTGCAGGGCTGGGGCAGGGGCTATAAAATTCGAGGTGTATTTCAATAAAGGGTCTTCTCTTCACCTCATGAGAGGAGTCCGTGTTACCTGTCATCGCAAGCTACCACCCCAAAACTGTGGCATCCTGACAGTCTGACTAGTTTTAAAGTCCATTGAGGAAAACATTCCCCCTCATGCTGGTTGGTTGGTGCTGTTCTTTTATAGAGTTGTCATGACCTGCTCTCCTTAACCACATCCTCCATCCATCAGCAGTAATGCGCATGCCCAGTACCATCACTAGGGGATCTTCGAGAAGCTTTAGGTGGTCCTCAGGGGCCTCCAGACTCCTCCATCTCCTTGACCCCAGGTCTGTGCACATACACAAGGGTTGGGTTAAGTTTCTCCCCTGTTGGGGGTTGGGTTAGCTCTCCCCTGTTGTTCCAAGGTGTCGATGGTTTTCCTGCTGTAGCAATGTTGGGACAAACATCCTGCACCAACATCCACTGTGGCAGTGGTGTCAGCAATGTCGTTTTTTGCTGATGCTGTCTCTTCGGTGGTGTTTTCACCAACACAGTCTCTTACACCCACTGATCAATGCCCAGCTTGTCCCTGAGCAGTGACTAGCCTCTCCTATCCAACTCTCCCCAGTTTATGTACTGAGCATAACATTCTATGGTATGGAATATCCCCTTGGCTAGTTTAGGTCAGCTACCCTGACTATGCTCCCTCCTGGATTCTCAGTTTCCCATGCTCTGTTATTCATGGGCAGAGCATGGGAAACTGAGAAGTCCTTGATCAGGCTAAGTAATACTTAGCAACAAGTAAAACATCAGTGTGTTATCAACTTTATTCTCAGACTGAAGCCAAAACACAGCACTGCACCAGCTACTAGGAAGAAAATTAACTCTATCCCAGCTGAAACCAGGACAGTACCCTTAATACCAATCATGTCACGTCACATCCCACACTGCCGAACACCATCACCTTTCCTGTCTTTTGATATATGCACACACAGGTATCTTTCCCTTAGTTTATGGACCATCCCTATAAAAGTCTGTTAACTTAGTCCATGACTTTGGGCTCCATCTGTCACAACAGACTTTCACAGGGCAGTATGCCACAGAAAAAATGGACTCAGTCAGAGATCAATGTCATCAGACCAAAGCCGTTTATTACAAAGCATCTATCCTTTTTATACTGTTCTCTGCATCTGCTTACAATAGCTTGCTGTATTGTAATTGGGTACATATTCTTGTAACACACAGCAACTACGGCTACATATACAATAGCTCGCTGTATAATATTTGGATATATCTACAATAGCTTGCTGTAGTATAATTAGATACATCTTCAATAGCTTGTTGTATTATGATTGGATACATATACAATAGCTTAGTATATTATGTTTTGATATATATTCTTGTAGCATACAGCAACTAGTATACAATTGATCAAATAAGCGTATGGGAACTTAACCTTTAAAACTTGCTAACAGTTCACTATTTTGTATCTTAGCACATTCCAGTTTCTTCTTATCTTGCTTGCACTGTTACTTTTGCTTCCTTACCCACGTCCTCCTTCATCCTCGGTTCATGTCGAACTCCACGTAGGCACTTGCTGACTTGGGAACGTGGCCATTCTTTGCTAAAAATCCATCCACAGCAGTAGAGGTATTGTGCGGTGTTGTACTGTTATATGCTGAAGCCATTTCCAATTCCAGCACCACTGCTCTTGTCCAGTTTCATCAAAGTTCATTCTTCATTAATAGTGATTGAAATGGGAGTTTAGAGTGGTGAATACAGGTGCTGCCAGACACCCACTGCGATGGTGGGTATCTAGCTGCCATAGGAGTGATAATATAGAGTATTATATTGCAATAAACATCATACAGTTTAATTAATTGCCTATTTTCACCCAAAATCAAATCCCCCTGAGGCATGGACTAGACTTCCCCATTCTCCTGCACTACCCACCAAGTGCACCAAGGTCCTTGAGCAAAACCAATCCCACAAATGGACTTGCCTTTGCCTGAGGCAGCAATAACCTAGACTGCTTTCCTGTGTCATCACCAGACTTGCTTCTTAAGGCCCATGATAGTGTTCTGGGCAGTCCTGTGGAGCACAGCATAGATTTCCAGCCATCCTGTGGCTGCTTTCACCATGGTAAGCACATGGTGCTTGCCTTGGCAGGTCAGTGGGAGTGTGATATGGTCAATCTGTTAGAAAAGGGTGAAGTTTTTACAATAAAAT